CAAGTGGTCTGGGATTCTCAAAAGACAACGGAGCACTGATGTGGGGCGGCTGTGGCTCAGCAGTAGAGCAGTTGGTCCACTGATCACAGAGCTGGAGGTCGATCCCTGACACCTCCTGTTGTTGGGGAAAACACTGAACCAAACATTGCTCCTGATGGTCGGGTCAGCACCTTGCATGGTAGCTCGCTGCCACTGATGTGTGTGACTGGGTGAACGAAAGGCAAATTGTGAAGCGCTTTGGATAAAAGTCATGTATAGATTCAGCCATTTACCATTTATGTAAGACCCCTCTGCTGAGACGTGACACATACAGTATTTTGATGTTCCAGCAGGAATCACCACCTATTCTGGGAGCTGACCTCTAATGGTCTAAACAGTGTATCATATATCAATCAGGAATCTTGTAGGTTTCCAGGTTAGTGCCTGTTGATTTGTTAAGAGCTGCCTTGAACACACACATACACACACGGTCAACTGCAGACGCGCATGCGCACAGCTAAAGCCAGCAGCTGAAGCTTGTGTCAAAACACTGAAGGAAATCAGCAGCAGGCAGCGCAACATCTCAGCACGATTTCAGCTTTAGCGCTTTTTTTTCGGAAATTATTTGTTGACACAAAGTGTTTTTCTTTTACGTCCGCGTACCATGACCGAACAATCAGCATTACTTCTTCGAAAACAACTGGCAGGTAATATAATACAAAACTGTAAGCAGATACAGCCGATATAAAGGCTAGCAACCTAGCGGCTAACGTTAGCTTTTTTTTTTAGCTACGCAAAGCTATGTTTACGCCATAGGAGTAAGCTCAGAAAGCTAACCAAGCAACATAATGGGTTCCTTTATCACTAGTATGGGGCTAAGCTGCTTGTATCAGCTGTTCTCTGGTACAAATAAAGATACATATTTTGAAGTATACGTGGCAAAAATAACATTATATCGGAACCAACACTGAATCGCAACGCCAGCCTTGCTAGCGGGCTAGCAAGTTCGACATTAGTTAGCTGACGGAACAAAGGAATAATCAATCCATGGACTCATCTGCTCTGATGATTTTAGCTTTGCTAATGATAGCTTTATAAACCCTAAGCCTTCCAGGGACTATCATGCTACCATATCAGTAGCAGCTTGATTAAAATCCCTAACTCACCGCCTAGCTGTATATGGTAATATTTAGCGTTTCTGGTGTCAAATCTGGCTCCGACTAACGCTGCTTAGTTAGCAGCTTTTAGTGAGGATAGATAGATGGATGGTATCTCCGTGTCCAAGCCTGCAACTGCAAAACTCCTATTGTTATCACGTTGGCTTACTTTGAGACTCATTATTATTATCATTATTATTATTATTATTATTATTAGTGTTGGTGGCCAGACACACGGAGACACCGACACCCTGATGTTCAGTCTGCAGCTGACTGACTGTCCTGTTCAGTGTCTGGACGTCTGTCTCCCGGGTCGGTTATAGAAATGTAAAAAATGGAAACTGCTATTTTTTTTAAATACATATTTTTTTCTGATGATAATGGTCATCATGCCGAGCCTATTAAAACCAAGATTGTAGCAGATCTGGTTAAAGTCATACATGGTTATGAAGGCACCTGGGTATGAATGGTACTTTATGGCTGTGGTGCTGGCAGGTGATCTCTGAGACAATACCATTTGTAATTTTACTAAAATGGCCAGTAGGAAGAGGCAGTTTACTCAACTGCAAAAGTAAAAAAAGTCTGTCAGAAAATTTGTTCAAGATTAGTCAAATATATCTGAGCTAACTTATATCACAGTGGTCGGCATCACAGACAAAGTAAAGTTTTATCACAACGCTGATATTATTTCAATCTTTTTCCCGCTGTACACTGTAGCACAGTCACAAAGTGACCTACTTTGATAAAGTTAGAACGACTGTGATAATGTACTGGAGCTTGCCATAACCACTGACTGTGGACAGGATTCAGATTTTCCCATGGTGCAGCAACGACAGTAACCATCTCCCACAATGTGCACTGGGTTAATGAAATCAGACACCATCATCCCGTTCTATGACTGATTTAACATATTGTACAATATGTTAATTCTGGTTTCTGTGTGCGTGGGGATGTGAATCACTGCCTTCACAGTGGTTGATTCAGTTCAAGGTGATGATTCAGTTTAACAGTGACTTTTATTTTTGGAAACCACGATGTGATTTAGTGAACATTAGCCAAACTGTATATTTATTGAATAAAGTTGCACTAATGTGAGACTATGACTTATTCTCCTACAATGTGACAAAGAGACAGTTAGCTTTATATATTCTTAAATGGAAAGATACAAACTAATCTGTCTGTTACTTCACTAAATATTATGATATAATGTAAAACTTAAGTGATAGTAGAGGAATATTTGAAGCAGTGTCAGTCATGTGTCAGTGCTGGAAATTGTTTTGATGCACACATTTCATATACTTTATTGTTATATTATATATTAAAAACTCTATGGTTCAAGTCAGTATGCTGTATCTCAGCCAGAAAATTGTAACAAAGGCTCAGGAGATCAAATCAGCACAGTTCATGCTTCTTAAGAGTAATGGTGTTAATTAAAGGGGCTAATACAGCACTTATTACTTATTCATTCTGGTCAGCAGCTGTTAACCTGCTTTGTGTCATCAATTAGTTGTGAATGCAAACTCAACATTTCCTGCAGCAATTCACAAAAGTGAAAAAACCAACATGCAGCGCACTTTAGATTTACCTGTACCTTCCATCATACTTTATTAACGTCAGTGACTTCAACAGATTCATTATGGCTCTGCTGCGTTTTTATTATCCTCTGTGTTTACTGTGCACCATCTTTGTCGCAGACAGTTTTTCCCCTGGTGTTCTGCTGTTGTGGCCAGTTTTAAAATCAATGTAATATGACTTCTTTGTTGATGTTTGGTTTTTAACTTTACATTTGTTGTCCTTGAAAAACCACGAGCGTTTGTCTCACGCTCTCTGTCCTTTGCAAGGGGTCTGTCAATGTAACAATTGTTTCAAAATATACCCAGTAATCTTTACCCACTACTTACTTGATCACACATGTAGACCTGTTACGCTTTGTGTAATTACTATAGTTGTTTAATTTCTAGTTCATCATATTAAAAGATACCATCTGCCTCTCTTTGCAGAGCTCAACAAGAACCCTGTGGAGGGCTTTTCAGCTGGTCTGATAGACGATGATGACATATATAAATGGGAGGTTGTGATCATTGGTCCACAAGATACCCTTTTGTAAGTGAGAAAATATTTGTATGAGTGAGAAATATATATTATATATTAGTTTTTAAATTCACAAGTTCTGATTTGTCTTTGCTCTGTTTGTATTGCAGCGAAGGAGGGTTTTTCAAAGCATACCTAACCTTTCCCTATGATTATCCACTACGGCCTCCAAAGATGAAGTTCATCACTGAAATCTGGCACCCAAATGGTAAACACATTAGCAGGCTCTTTGATGATTCCACACTTCAAATCTTCATCACCTTCACTAGCTCTGAATATATATATATATATATATATACTTCATTGGATTATTAGAAAGGTTGATTAAGCTGAAAAGTAATCCAGGCTTTGAGTTTAATTGTAATTAAGGGTGTCATCACTTTCTATTGGCTGCAGTTAAATTCCTGCTTCTATTCTCTACAGTTGCAAAGAACGGGGATGTTTGCATCTCAATTCTGCATGAGCCAGGAGAAGATAAGTTTGGTTATGAAAAGCCTGAGGAGCGCTGGCTTCCAATCCACACAGTAGAGACAATCATGATTAGTGTTATCTCCATGCTGGCAGATCCCAACAGCGACTCACCAGCTAATGTGGATGCTGCGGTGAGTTACACGACTTATGCCGTTCACCTGACACTGGCAATCCCTTTTCATTAGTGCTATCTGGGTAGGTAAATTGAGGATTTGTCATTAAAAGAATCTGATGTTGCTCCCACAGAAAGAGTGGAGGGAGGACCCTAACGGTGAATTCAAGAGGAAGGTGGCTCGCTGTGTAAGAAAAAGTCAAGAGATGGCATTTGATTAGGAGTCAATTGTAAATTCCAGGGTAAGTAAGCTGAATTGTTTCTGCTACATAATTGTCACATGTGAAACCTTGCTGCTGGAGCTGATAGTAATTACAATGTTCTTTTTTCTTCTTTTCAGTTAAAGGAAATGCCTTCAGAGGGAAAATTTCAGCAAAAGGCTTTTGCACCCCTTGTTTTGCCAGTCAAAGGAATTGGTTGTCTTCAACCACGTTTCTGTGAACGGTTGTCATTTTCCGCAAGATGAGCCAATTTGAGAACCCTACCAGCGAAATTATCCTGTTTCCTACCTGGAATTGTATATTTAATGTTATTTATTTTGAAAAATTAATGATGTAAGATATGTCACTACTGTAAATTAACTTGCTTTTTTATCTGCTGCTGAACAGTTTCTACTTTATACCAGGTTTCTTATGCAATTTAGTGGTCAAGATTGTGTAAAACAAAACAAAAACCCGTTACCATTAGGTCATCACTTGTCCTCCCTACTGAATACTTAACCACCAGATTAATGTCGGCCCAACAAATCTCTGTCAATAGATGTGATTATTTTCAACACTGTCATTGAATCACCGTTGCCTTTTGTTGGCTTCACCTCCTCACAGTGTGCTTGTTGTTTAGAGGGTCAGTTGAGAACTTTTAGAGGAACTTATAAGGAGTTTCATACAGTCTATTTTTCTGAGAAACAGCCTCCTGTTAGCATTTTCTTCTTCTACTAGTGTATGTCTAAGAATGATATAAAACCATGACTCTCAAACCTGCATGATCTCCTCAAACAGCTCCGTTATGTATTGTTGCTAGCTGTAGATGTAAATGGAATGGCTTACTCAGTGATTTGAGAGTCACTGTTTTATAATATGTTGACTCACACAAGCATAGCTAATGGTAATGGAAGGTTTGTGCCAACTTCTCAGGATCAAAATTCATTAGGGTCACGATTGGCAATCTGTTAAATGAACCTGTTAATGTTTCTGACCCTTTAACACGTGGCCCTCTCGGTCAGTGAAGATTAACACCGTTATTATAAATCATGGACAACCAAACCACAGTCTGTGAAAATAGCCTAAGCTGTGACTATTCTGCGTGTTTTCTGGTTAACTGGCATCTGAGCTTACTTTAATTTGAAAGGAATAAATTGGACAACGTTTATGGTTGTTTGAGTTGTTGATCTATTAACATGGGTTATTGTAGGGTCTCCATAGTAGTTAGGATAGTCGTTCTTACTCGGTTTGTTGTGGCTTTCGGTCAGTGTGGGTAAATGATGATGTGTAAGTCACTCGTGGTTTAGACTCTGAGGACTTTGGGGAGGTTGTTGAGTAATGCTCTTATATTCTATCAACATCTTGAGTTGTGATTGGTGCATACTTAGATAATATTTATCACCTTTACTTAATCACTGAATTTGGGTTGTAATTCTTGATAGAGACTTGAAGTTAACTCACCACTTAGAAAAGTGTAAGTGTTCTGAGGGGAAACGAACACAATCCTGCATCTAGGTTTTATTTTTAAAGGATATACACAGTTTGGGTGGAGTCTGGAAACCATTGGCTTTTGCTCACTTTAATTGATGGTGTTGCTGACTATTAAAGCCATGATGACATCGATTTTGAATTATGTTATACATGATTGATCTGTGACTGACATTGAAAAATAGCTAACCATCTTTTGGCGCATGCAATCAGGTTTGAAGGAGTGGGGTATGTTTAAATATGATACCATTGTTAGTACATTCTGGGTGAATGTGATGTGTACAGTTAGTAGATTTCTGTAGACTTGATGATCACATAACTGCTGTTGACATTACCTTTTTAAGTCAGAATTTTCTAACCTACCATGACCTCCTCTGACCGGTGTTCACTGTATTTGCACAGATTCGGTGCGTTTGAAATGTCATTAAGCAATACGCCCTGAAAATGGTGTGTCCAGGTAATCCGCCCTAACGCCATTATTTGTTTTGGGTTGTTTTTCTTTCCATTTTGTGTCAATGCAATGTATATTGGACATGATGCTCAATAAAGTGTGTAAACAGAGTGGCTTGTAATTTTGTTTGTGTTTTACATTTTAGATGAGAACACGCTCTGGGTTCAAGTATATTAGACCTCTGCTCTGTAATTGGAACCCTGGGAATAGTGTCAGATTTCAGGGCTGGCTTCATTTCACACTAATGGGCTCTGCTGGCTGCAACACATACTGAGCTGATAACGATGCTAGCAACCTCTCTGACATATCGACAGGAAATATTGGGATTGTAAGTAACAATGAGAAAGCGGGTTACGTTTCTTGAGCAGCTGAAAAAAGAAAACCTGTTAAAAAATGGAAGCAGTCACATCCTAAAGAGGTAAGACCACAACATGAGTGCTAACAGCTTTAATGGCTGAATACAGATGATGGATTTTTTTAATTTTCAAACTGAGATTCTTGATTTTTAGGACTACAGAATCTAACAACAGATGCACAGATGGTGAGTCAAATATTCCTTTAAATGCTAACCAGACATGAGTAAACCTGTTTTCATTATTGAATTAGAAAATAGATTATTTGAACACAAACAGTCTCTAAAACGTAATAGTTTTCTTTCTGGTTGTTGACCAAATTAAACCTCTTGGTTGCTTATTTAAATAATAAAAGTCCTGCAGTCTAAATTCTACTTCAGTAAATGTACTATAAGCAAATTATAGCTTTGCAGAATGGCCCCAGTCAGATGTTCATGTATTGTTGGATTAAGATTACAGATATATTTACATGTAGCAGTTACAGTGGTCAAGGCAGAGCTGAACCATACACTGCTGGGTACTTTTTAACAAATCATATTTTATAAGCGTATTAGTTTGGTGTGTAAAATACTCTGAAAGGTAACTATATCTTTCAAATAAATGTGGAGTAAAAGGATCAAAATCTGCACCTGAAATGTAGTCGAGAGGAGGAATATAGTAGAATGAACTTGAAAGACACAAGTAAAGTGTAAGTATTTAAAAAATTGTCTTAAGTAAATGTACTACTTTACTTTATAGTAATATTTGTGTAGTGAAAGCTCCTTAAACTTTTACCAATACATTAAAGAGATGAATTCTAGACTTAGGTAATCAGTTCAATGTGTGCTATGATACACTGCAATTAAAGAGTCTTAAAATGTGCTGCTTAAATAACACCACAGATATCTTAACTATAAAAATGTGTTGTTTTCTTACATTTTGCATTTGGCAAGGCTTTGAATGTCAGCAAGTGAGGGAGATGTACAGAGGAACACACACAAATGTGTCTGCAGGCGGTCAGCACATGAAGACGATACACATTCCCAAATCTATGATGTCTGCACCCTTCTTACAGGTAACCATGCTGTCTCTGTGGTATTTCTACTGTCAAGGGATGATTTGAAGATGGTTTAAATGAGATATTTATAACATTCCTCATATGTAACAAGGTTACTCTCATTCTGTCATGTATAATCACATCAGTTCTTGTTCCTGTCTCAGCATCCAGCCCTTACAGCCGGACAGAGGCGCTACCTTTGCAGTATAGCAAACATTTACAGTACAGAGCACATGAGGCAGCAGATGAAGCAGCACTATCTCAATGTGCTGCGCACATGCGTTCAATCGGGTGTGTATCTTAATGTCTCAGTCATAAACTTGACCACTACCATCCATCTCATGTTGTGTTTTGTTTCTCCTAGGTCAGAATCCCACCTGCAGAAGGAGGTATGGTGATCATCAGCATAGAGAAAATAGTGCGTTTGAAAAGGATGCAGAGAAGGATGTGGCAAGGGCAAAGCCTCAAGGGCAGAGGAAAGGAAACAGCAGCACTGCAAATTCTGATGTCATACTTCCAAAAATAGTCAACAGATGACATATATGATGGCAACTGGGTTTACTATTTTTAGGCTTAAACAACCTTATAGTATAGATAGTACATGTTTATGTTGATCTGTGTATTCAAATATGTTCAAATATGACTTTAATGTCCCTAACAGAGAACTGTGTGCAGTCATAGTTTTACACAGAACCACACACAAGCACTACTGCATTTAGTGTTACAGTACACATCATATTTACATATTCTGAAGCAGTTATCAATATAATTATGTTTTAATTTGTACCTCACAGTGTAACATGGTTTGGAATGATACACTTTATTAATATGCTATTTTTATCATTGCTGTGTGTGCTCATTAAGTAATCCAGTAAGTGTTTTAGTGTGACTCAACCATTGACAGTATGTATAACATCTGTGCATTAACAGCGACGTTTATTAATGTGCCCTGTCAATAATATATTATACAATAAATAAAGACCTTACGGTAACTTTCAGTATGTTGGGCCCGTTCACCTGGAGTGGAGACAGTGGTTCCATTAATGCCTAAGAGGGGAGGACACCTGAAAGCCAACTCAGCCCTTAGATCAGGTCACTGTATTTATGTAGCTAATTAGCAGTTAGCAGACTGCGCTGTTTGCTCTGAACTAAGTTAACACTACTGTCGTCCGCAAACATGGACTGTCTTCTGGAAGGAAACTGTGTAAAAGGTAATAGTAAGCAGGACTAGTGAAATATAAACAAGTTTAATTTGCTGTAAAGGACACATTAACATAAAAACTGTAATCTGTATATAAGTTGTGGCAGCTCTGATAAGATAAAACACTAATTTATGACAAAAATCAATGCTAGCTTAACTTAGCTTCCTACTAACTAACCTTAGCTACGTTAGCCACTGATTTAACGACGTTATCGTTGATTTTCAGCCACTGCCTGCCAGCAGTTGACCCTATTTAAGAAACGGCTATCTCAGTTAAAGCTAGTGACACAAGTGAACGGTAGTATGTTGTTAACCTTGAACTCTGGCGGCACCTTGCTGTGTTGCAGCCTTTGGGAAGGCCATTCATGCCCTGTCACGGATCGGAGATGAGCTGTGGTTGGATCCCATGGTCAAAGGGGTGAGCAGCACCAAGCGACGCTGGAAGGGAGACAGTGTAGTTGAATGATCCCAGACTCCTGACCTCCACCAGGGGATTAACTTGACTCTCTGAGAGGGATGGCATTATTGCTTACCCCCTCCTCTTTAAAACATTTAATTAACTTTATATTACATGAAGTCTCTGTATGAGTCCTCTCCAGGTGTTGGGGCCCTGTTACATCATGTCTCCCTGTAGGCAGTGGTAGCAGGAAGCAGCTTCTTGACTGAATCTCTCTGTGTTTTAAAGCTGGCCCTGAGATCAGTGAATTCTGCTCATTCTGCATATGCCTGCTTCCTCTTCTCGCCGCTGTTCTTCCAGCACTACAGCCTGGGACCAGAATCAGAGCAGGGCAGTGAGACAATCAAATGCAAACTGCTCATGAAGGTATATCAGTCATGTTGGTTATTCATTTGTACAGGGCTTGAAGTGATCTCACAGCTCACTGCACAGGAAGGATGATATATTTTTCAGGATGAAGCAGACAGTGGAAAAATAAAAGCAGAACTGAACTACTACATACACTTATGACATGTTATTGTTCTCCCTTTAAGACACTTTGATGAACAGTGGTGACAGTCTTGTCTAATTATTTCTGTTTGTTTTTAAGTCTGTTCTGCCTCTTTTCCGGTGTTTGACTTCCATTGAGCGTAATGTGGAACGATGTCAGATATCAATTAGCACACCCAGTGACCGTGTGATCATCCAGTTTTTCTGCAGGCATGGTAGGAAACATTGCATTTTGTATTATAAGCTAGCTGCAGGTAAAGGAAAAAAATCTGTCCTGTTTGATTTTAAAGAAATAGTTTTTTTTGTAATCAATTTCTTTAATGGACTTGTCTTTTTGTGAACCCTCTTTCTTTTACCATGTTCAGAATGACCTCTTTCACACCAGGCTTCAGACACTGCATTGCATATTGTCAACACTTGGTGGCAGTGTGCTCCAAATGTCCTGTCTGTTTTTTGTGATAGGCATCACTAAAACCCACAACCTACGTTTCCAGGAAAGTGAGGCTCTGCAGGCGGTGTTTGCCTCACACCTCTGTCCTAATGTGCTGAAGGCTCCTGCCAGGTTAGCAAGTTAGAACCTCCACCTTCTATCACATAGTCCACAAACAAAACTTCAGAAGCACATTTCTGTCATTGAGTAAGAGCTCAAGATGCAAAAAAAATCTTGGTTCTCTCAGTCGACCTTTGACTTTCTCCTTTCGTTACAAGTGGATTTACTGTGAAATTAATAAGGTATATGGTAGCTCCCAGCTGGATTCAGCAGTTTAGTCTATTTAATGGTGTTAATGATAATATTATTAACACACAATATTTTGTTCTCTCAGCTGACTCTGGGCAGCCGTCCCGAAACACACAGAAACAGAGACACACACAGCTTCAGTTCAGCGCAATTCAGTTTAATCACCCGGACTGACAAGGACATAAATGTTAATTCCCAAAGTGTATAGACTTAGGAAAACCATCATCCATCAGTAGCACAGCACTGGCATACAGCGCTCTGCTTCATGCTTAGGTTGAGTCTGTGTGGGTTTGCTTTTGTTTTGCCTCTGCAGGCTTCTTGGTGACATGGTGATGCATTTCCCAGTGTCCCAGGAGGAAATCACTCTGTCCATGACTCCTCTGAGTGTCAGTCTGAGAAACTACTATGAAGGGGGAAATGGTGAGCTAACATTACAGTGTGATTTGGCCCGGGCCCAGCACTAAACTGTGAGTTGCAGACATCATAGACTGTGTAAAAGTGGCTGTTGCACCAGCTTTGAGGTTGACATTTGTCAACCTAACCTAATGATACAAATACCGCATATTTAATTCTTCAACCACATTAAAGCAAGCGCTAAACATGTCGTGCAGATACTATTTGACTTGGATTTACTACTGTCACAGATCACATGAAGACCATGTACACTGAGATGTCCTTACACCCAGACGAGTTTGACTACTTTCAGGTCGGAGTGGACTCGGACATAACCTTCTGTCTAAAGGAGTTAAGGGTAACAGGGTTATTTTTGGGGGCACTCTTTATCCTGTCACATGAGAATATTATGTGTGTGTGTGTGTGTGTATGCAGAAGGTATGTGTGTGACCGGCTCACCAGGAGCATTTCATGTCTAAGAGGTCATGTTTCGGTCCTGTAATCTGGATACTGCAGTGTCCTGAAGCCCCTGTACCCGGCTCTCTGTATCGGTTCCATGTGAACTTTCCCCCTCAGAGTTTTTATAGCAAAGATAGTGTGACCTCAGTGACGCATATTATACCACTACATAAAAAGTAATTATAGGCTACACATGACATGGTTCCTTATAAAATGTGTAACTTTGAAACCAAGTAGGAAAGTGTTTGTATTTAAGGGCTGGTTTAAGTCCATGTTAAACAGCAAAACACTGAAACTTAGAGAACTATAATGTCATTTCCAGAACAGCTTTCTCTTTGTTATAGTGTCTGAATGAACACACCCCAATTTAAATTACATTCTTGTGTCTTTATTTAAAAAACAAAAGGACTTGGTTGGCCGTTTGGAAATGTGGTTTAGCAGTCCTTCAGTAAGTCCGGTTAATGAGACTTGACCTGAATTAACACCCGCAACTCTTGCCCCTAATGTCTTGGAATGTTTTTTGGACACCCCGCTGTGAGGCTCCTCATTAGCCAGCCTAGTCTTCTTGTTCCTGTCGGTTTTGGAAAATCGGGTTTGGATGGATTAAAGGCCAGGCTTAACGTTTTAGTCGGCCTCAATTAGTCTAGCATTGATATTTTTCTTGAGCCCGATCATTGTAAATGTGCCTCACAATGATCAGCTATTAAAATGTCACAGTCTTGACATGGATGCACACAAGCGTATCTTGGTATTTGACAGTGAATTTGCTGCTGTTCTGTTTTTTTTCTTCTTCAGGGTTTACTGTCCTTTGCAGAGACACATTGCCTTCCTGTGTCGGTTCACTTTGGTGCTGCTGGAAGGTAAGTGTTGAGTAGCATTTGTATCTCAAGTTACCAGGCCCAACGTCAGTCTGTGTGATGTTGTACCACAGGCACACCAAATAACCTCAGAATGTCATCATCTATTTTGTTTTTTTCTGGTTATATTACCAGCCACTTTAGTGAGCAGGTGTGGTGAGTTTGGCTGGTAAAACTGTGAAAGACTGTTTGAATTAAAAAAAAAAAGACATAAAGTGATTATACTGTCTGTCACTGTCAGATATTTGTCAGTGATGATGTTGATGTTGTTTTCAGGCCTGTGTGTTTCTCTGTGGAGGACATGGTCCTGGAGGCCACTGTGGTGCTGGCTACTCTGATTGACTCTCAAAGCACGGGCCCCTCTCAGCAGACAGAGACCCTGGCCCCCACTACACCCAGGTAACAAACACCGTGCTGGCTCCAGACACAGTGCTGTCCTGTGTGAATGTTTGCAGCGTCCCTGTCGCAGCTGAAGCCTTTGTAGGCCCAGTTTCTCAGATCTGCTGTGACGGTGTATTCGAGAGTATAATTGAATCTTCCCACTGGGTTCTACCTGAGCTTCTCTCCTGGCGCAGAGTCAAGGCAGGTTGCCCTCATTGGCTGTTTTTAGCTTCCTAAGAGGGCATAGTGTTACAGCAGCCAGCAAGCCTTGTGTCTGTAACAGAGATAAATAGGGCAAGCCCAGGACATGTGGGGTTAGGAAGCCTGTCAGTGTGACAGTCTGTAATCCCCTCATCTCCACTATGCTAGCCTGCTTGGCTGTTCTGCCAGTGTCACTGTCCTGTATCTTTTCGCACCAGTCCTAGCTGTACTGTTGAACATCTGGATCATTTGTAGCTTGATTTGTCGTGTACTGCTGGGAGTCTGCACAGACATGACTGACCTGATGAGCCAGCAGTTCTTCTGTGCTCCTGTCCCCACTGCACAGGAATTCAGCTAAACCTGTATGTTCTGCTTCAGCGTGAATCATCCAGGCTGTTTGTGAACATATGCAGTACATGTTTGATATTCGTGACATGCTCGTAAGAAAACTTTCTTGCATGGTCCCTCAGGGGCCTTTTGAAGTACAACTGAAGACTGTTTAAAACTAGCTTGCTCGCTTTACTTCTTCCTGCAGTGTTCCTCTTTATGCTTCTCTGAGGGTGATGACATGTAATGTGGTTACATTCAAAGGGTTGTTTTGTTGTTTGCTCAAAGGCCACTTTCAGTATCAGCTGATATAGAGCTCTGTTCACAAATGTATTTGTAAGGTGAATAGACATGGTGTTCTTAATATCTCCATGGAATCTGAACATATTACACAACTCCTTAAGTTGATAATAATGTCAGGTTTATTATCCGTACTCTGTTTGACAGTTTTAGTGTCAATATATGACTTTTGTAGTTATTGAATATGTCATTTAGACACCACTTCATACACAAACTGAAGGGTTCTGAGTACTCTCTTCATCTTCTTCTTGTTCCTACTGTGTGATGTTTGAATGCTGTCTGTGCAGAGTTTGACACTAGAAGGATGTTTTCACATTCATCTACTAAAAGTGGAAAGTTTCTCTGTGCTCATTGTACATCAGATTTTAAGGGGCGGGGCCTACCAGCATGATTTGTGACAATAGTTAG